ATGCTGTGATGAACTGTATCAAAAACATTACAAAAATCTAGAAAAACTACATCCACCACCTTCCCTTCCTCCACTAGGCAGTTAACCTAAATCTTCTAGGTTTGTATTCTCAGCTATCTAGATCAGTGGCTCACAAGCTAACTGTAATGATTTGGTACCCATAGTTGTTTATCAAAGTATAAAACCAATTTAGTTGCATGATCTATCTTGTTAAAGTTTAGCATTAAGCTTTTTGGGGTTTGGGTTGCGGGGGCTTGGGGGGCTTTTTTTGCTTAACATGCTGTATCTTAAGGCTTTAGTTAAGATTAGATAGGAGAGTAGGATCGCAGGCTTGGGAGATCAGTAAGAATGGTTGCAATTAATTAACAGTCTTCCAGCTTTGAAGCATCCTAAAAAGGACTGGATCTTAAATGTGTAAAATTATCTTTGAAGATATGTTTTCCTGAAGATATTTTCCATAGAAATCAATACTCAGAGTTCAGAAAGGTGCCCTCTCTCATTCAAAGCACAATGATTTGCTTTCTGATGGTTAACTGGTCCTGTGTCTTCTAAAGAAGAAAACAGTAGTTCATTAATCTGAAAATCTAAAATTAAAAGATGAATGTCTGTTTATATCAAAATAGTCTGAGAGTTGTAAATTAAGACTCAAAAATATAAAATAAATAAAATAAAATAAAATAAAATAAAATAAAATAAAATAAAATAAAATAAAATAAAATAAAATAAAATAAAATAAAATAAATAAAATAATAAAATAGGAAAAAAAAGTCTGACAGAATATGACTGATGATATTTTCAAACTATCTGCATTCTGGGTGATAAATTTGGCAATGTCATTGGAAACAAAAATAGTAAACAATATTTTCAATAGATACAGTATAAGGACATTTGAAATCCCATCTTCACATGAGAAAATACAGCAACATCCAAGCAATATTTCATTATCAGCTGAAACAGAGTACTTAAAGCTCATTGGGCAAAAAGTAACTCATTCATCCTGACTGCCAAGAATTTAATGTTTTGTAATTTAAGTTAAAATATTTCTCCTAGTAACATTTTTACAGCATAGTAATAATGGAATACAAATTTCTAATTTAGTACAAACAGATCAAATTAAATTAAAAAAACACGGATTTCTCCAGCAACTAGGACTTCTGCAAACACACACACATATACACAGCCCTGTGGTTGTCCCTTAGCAAGCATGCTTCTACTTAATACATAATGTCAGTCATATATTTGACACTAAATCCTGCAAATATAAAATCACAAGCCTTTTCAAACTGTCTAGGAATAAAAGTCTTTACATATTAGCATGGAAAATAATTTATTAGTAGTAATATGGACAAACACCTTAGGTTTGCGGAATCAGAACCAATATGTCAGCCATGATTTTCAAAGTTATCTGGCATAGTATCCATAGAATTGTCTCTGAAATCAAGTATCTTGTACACTCATTTATATGACAGACCACCTCTCTGCCATTCTGTTACAATTACGCTATCAGTGGTAGAGTCAGTAGTATAACGTATCATGAGAAAAATCTGACCCTGTAGAGTTACTCCCTGATGTGATAAAAAGCATCCAGTCCCACTGATCTGTTGAAAAGTCCGTATGTTGACTGTGTGGAATAAGAGTAAGTTACTATGTGTTTGTTTGTGTGTTTTGTATACTAATGATAGTTGCTTATTGGATTTGCTTAACTAAATATTCCGGGTTGTGACCCTCAGATCTGTAACAACTGTAACAAGGGTGGACTAATGTTTAAATGTTTTTATAGGGGTACCCATTTGCTTTATGCAATGAGGTGCTTAACTTTTTAAAGACTGTACTTTTCAACTTTTGTAAAGGGCATTTAGACCCATCCTTAGAATGGTGGGTTTGCTTTCCCTATCAAATCAGGAAAAATAAACTCTACCAATGCTAAATTTCAAATTTGCACTGAAATAAGGTAATTAGTTTAAAATAATTATGCCGTTTGTTCCAATTACACTGAAAAATTACTCTCCTCAACAAAAATTATCTTAGAATTTCCCCTAGTACAGTCCAGGAGTGCCAACGTAGCTATTGTTTTAAACACATCATTCTTTCTGTATATCACATCATTTGTGTTAGAAACCAGCCAAGCAGCAATATGTTCAATTAATCAATTATCATCCATACCAAGTTTATAATTAAAGGAATATTAACTTCCATGATGAATATATCTTCTAGCAGAAATTTAATTATATTCCCCATGCCTGTAATCAGCTTGGGTATTTAGGTGGTATTGTTTTATGTTTATTATATGGGTCCCTTTACATTTATTTTTAGATGGTCCCCCTCAAGCTGAAATATTTATACTTTTCCAATTCTTAATTTGCTGTTAAAAGAGGGAGAGATAACTGTTCACTTGTCATGTCCAAAAAAAAGGCTTAAAAAAATTTACATTCTTTTGCATCATTACATTCTTTTGCATTACATTTACATTATTTTACATTCCCAGGTGTAAAGTCTTACACGAAGCTGACTTTCTGAAAGATGTTGCTCAGGTCTTCAAATTAAAATAAAGACAAACATCTAGAGAGGGGACAAACTAGCTAAAATTCTTAGCAAAAATTTCAAGGAACTTTCCAGCAAATTTCATGCTATCATCTGAGTATTCACAGCTCCTATTGAAGATACTTAGACATGCCTGCACAGCATTTCATGGGGAATTTTTGAACTGGGAAAGTTGCATTGGACAAAAACCAAAGTAAACTTGAGAGGTCATTCTGGCAACATCAAATCTTTGTACGGTTGTAACTTACAGAGTCATTGTTCATGTTGTCATAGGGTTGAGTTTATATATTCCCTAAAATTTACCTGTTCTGAAAGTATCAAGACTAAATATCTCCACATAGGTAAAAAACAGAAATACAAACTCTGAAATGGGTTTATATGACAGATCTGAACTTTATCTCAAACTTGGTTATAAATATAATCTAGAGATTAATTATGTTCAATATGTGCATGCAAAACTCCTACCTGTCCTCCCAGTAGTACCATACCAAAAGCAATTTCTCCTCTTACACACTGTGGTGGATAAACAGTACAAGATCTGATCTGCAAAGAGTTTTGATCATCCTTGTGAAAACTCAAGGTCTGTCATACCATTTATCATATGCTAGCCCTCAGCCATATCATGACTATTTCTACAATACCCCTGAAACTCATCCTTGGCCATCAGCCCACACTGAAATCATTTACTAAAAGTTCTGTATACTGATAGCACATTACCACTGGTCATCCCATCACTGAAACCCCACCCAAATTGTGCTACGTTAGGTCACAAAACATAGACCTAAAGGTAGTATATCGTCTCCCCGAGACTGATCTGTATCCATCATCTGAAGTGCCACCAGACCACACCACTAGTTGTGTGGTTGAACTTGCATGCTCCAGCAATGCATACTGCTTGATTTATATAACAGCCCGTTCATCTCAGTGCATGCACAGTAATTACTATGCTGTAGCTGTAAGAATCCTCATGTATTTCTTAATTTCACTAGTTCTCCTTGGTTACTCTCACCCACTTGTTTTATCAGTATATTAGAGGGATACACCATTTTGGTCTAGGCTTGCAGTGATGGAATGAGCTGTTTCGATTTTAAGTAATTCCTGCTAAACCCCTTAAGTCATGAGTCTACTGTGGCCATCCTTACCTTTACATTGTGCTGTACAGCATCCATGCATGTATCTGAACACCACGCATCTTCTGAAAGAAAAGAAAGTACTTGTTTGGAAAATGTCTAATATGCAATTGTGACAAAATCTGAGGCACAAAGGAATAGTAAAACTAGAGGAAACTTGTTTGGGTAGAGACTCAATGTGGCTATCTTGCTTCTAAACAAACTCAGGGCTGACATATCAAACACTAATAGAATTATGAGGAAAATTTTTAATCTAAACAGATAAAGATTTGCAAAGAGATTGTGTGGTGAGATTCTTATATCTCATTAGTCACTCAGCAGTTTTGGCTTACTAAATTAATGAATTGAAAAATTATTTTTTTGCCATTACAATAAAGATGGGAAAATCAGCCTTTACATTCCCGGATCAAAGTATGAATCATCTCATATGAAATTTTCTTTTTCTTCAAAGAAGAAATTTGGTTTTCCTGTATGGAAATTATTTTTTTAAAAAAGCAAGATAGCATGAAAAATTGGCAATGCATAAGTTGAGCTTTATGAGACTTTTTCAAGCTTTTGTTTACGCTCCCATTGTTCTGTACATAAGGGAGGTTAGTGATCTGCCTCTCTTCAGCTAAAATAATTGGAGTGATCAGAATGTTTCCATCTTTCTAATTTTTAAAAAAGAGAGAAAATATGTTAGATTTGATAATACTTTACACAGACCAATTGTAGGCTTTTCTCATTTTGATAATTTGATGTAAAAGATGTCAATTAAAAGCAAATATTTAAGAAAAATAATAACATCTGCCAAATATAGGTCAATGTAAATGTACATGCTTCACTTCTGAAGCTCAATGATCTCTGTCTGTCTCCATATTTATGTGATTCTAAAAGCTCAGCTACTATAATTTTTCACCCAAATTGCATGCATTATTTTAGGCATATGATAATGCTATCCTTTGAATCCACACTTCACATGGATTCCTGTCAGTTTAATGCAATTTAATTAATAATGCAAATTAGGATTTGCTTGAAATAGGTTTGCCATGCAAATAGACCCTTTGCAGTACAGTAAGGCTGTCAGAAGAAGGTAGGACTGGCTTAAATATAATTTTTAGTGAATCAGTTATTTGTGTTATGTCAGTCATACAGTAGTTACTGAAGAAGATCTTTTCCTTCGCTGAAACGCTTCTACCTAAAGTTAAGTGCAGTTAACCTTAATCTTCCAGCCACAGCCAGAAGTTATTGGTGACATACTTTAGTAACCTCTGATGAGTTGTTCTCTTCCTTTCTTTCCGGTGAATTATTCATTGCTTCATCTCTGTTTTCTCTTTCTTTTGATCACAGGCAATGGACTGGGAATCCGAGTTGTAGGTGGGAAAGAAATTCCAGGAAGCAGTGGGGAAACTGGAGCTTACATTGCCAAAATCTTGCCTGGGGGCAATGCAGAGCAGACAGGGAAGCTGATAGAAGGTAAGATAAATGCATTATCAAAAACTGGAACCACAGGAGCGTTGGGAGTTTGGTAGAATTACTTATAATATACATTTCTCTTGCACAACAGGTTTAATTTTGTGCAGAGTAAGGGGCACCTGAGAGCCTCTCTAAACCTCCATGAGCCTTAAAGCAGAAAAGGATGGATAGAAGGTCATTTTATGACTTCTGTAGCCAAAGAGAATTGCCATGATGAGCAGTATTATGGCATGTCTTCAGTAATATGTGCCAACATGCTGTCTGCACTGGGGTTAAAATAATATGGCTAGAGTCCAACCGTGTATCATGGAAGTATATCATCAACGTATATAATGTACATACTATTTTGAAGATCCCTAACCTGGATTGATCATCTAGTTATCTATGTTTGGGATTGCATACATTTCTTAGTTGCCCAGGTAAAATAGATCACAGATCCAGTTCTTTCTCAGTTACATGCACTAACTTTTTTTGAAATTCCCTGAAGTCAGACTTGACTGAATTTATCTGACCTAACTTTAGTTTTCCAGATTAAGACAGTCATCCAACCTGTCTCAAGAGGCAACAGAGAAGAAAAAGCATCTACAGAAAGGCAATTATTTTATCTACCATAGATCTCTGTTTCAAGAACTGGGAATGTCTTCCTCATTTAATTGACTTTAAGAGACTGCATTAGACTATACATCATCCTTTAGGCAATCAAAGCTAGCTGAAATGAAATCAACTTAGTTGTCATTGAATTTTCTAGGATTATTACAAATGTGATAATTCTATCTACTAGCAATTTATTTATATCTATAATCACATAAATGTTCCCTTCTCTATTTAACTATTTTCTAGTTCCTTTTTTCATGTGAATATCTGTATGCACCTAAAATATCAGGTTATCCATGGACAAAAAATTAATACATTTGTTTCTAATTAATTCAACTAATTATTTTTACTTCTTTAATAAAGACAGTTATCCATGAAAAAATTAACAAAAGAAAGAAAATAAGCAGGAATAATGGTTCTCACAGGCAGAATTCAATTCACATAAATTTTCTGAATAGCAAATCTGTAACAGCAAATAGTAAACATGAAAAAAAAAGTCATGATTAAATCAAAAATACTTTGCAGATAGAAAAGCTGAGTGAATTTATTGAAGAATATGTTCACAAAGAATAGTTTAATTATATTGTGGGTGTTGCAAACCAGTGTCACCTACATTCACCCTGCTGCTTTTTACATTCTTGGTAGTTTCTTTGCCAATATTTTAATGATATACATAAAAAAGGTGAATGTACACCAATGGCAATGAAATGATGTATCAACAAAAATATTTTCATTTTTTCCCTACAGAGTTGATTGTGTCATTCATATTTAGTGGGTAGTATCTCACTCATCAAATGGTAGAATAGTGTTTTTTATTGTACACGAATGATGAAAGAATTGACCATAGTGTGTTTTGAAGCAAGTATTTGTTTTGGTTCCCTTCATACAAAGGAGTAGGTCTTTCATAACTGTGCTAGATCATGCATGCATTGTTTTAATACCAAGCAGGAAAAGAGGAGAATGTGGTTATTCAACATTTCACTGAGACTGGCCATTTCAAGAAGGAGATTGAGCAATTACTGCATGGAATTATCTCCAGTCTTTTGGTTTCTCTTGTCAGGAAATCCTCTGGAAATTGAGATTAAAAGAAGTTCTTTACTCACTATATAGATATATTTTAGCAGTGATCAAGAATATCCTGAATTTACAATAACTACAGGAGAAGTTCAGTCATGGCAGTTTGCTCTTCTGTCCACATAATGTCTTTTGAAGGTTTTATAGAAAGATGAACAGCACAGTAAAATATTTATTCCTTTGTTTCATTCTCCCATCATATGATTAGTCATGTTTCTCATCTGACCTTTATAAACGTATCCTGGACTTGGGTATGTTGATATAAATCAACTCCACCAAAATCACTATACTTAATCTGTAGAATTTGTCCACAAAATGTCCAAGAATATGTTTTACTATTGATGTGTTAAATGTTCTGTCAGAGAGAAAAAATGCTTTCTGCAGAATGGATCATTAGTAGAGCACACAAGACAAACACTTCCACTCACTGTCATTTAACTTTTAAATCTTGCCTGTATATCTAGTTTACTTTTTACGGCATATTAGATGGATATCATAGATCAACAAAGAATATTTGACTACTTCACTGTTGGTTTTGGTTTTCTGTTTTAAAGGAAATATGACTGATGCACATTTAACCTCTAGCCTTCAGAAGTGCTAAAATCCATTTAGGTCTTCAATCATTCTCATATTGATCTGCGTAAATCCAGCCAAACTGCTAATGTTACCAATATTGCTGATATTGTTGTGTCTGAAAACAGAGGCTGGCCTTCATTTCTTTTTCAAGTTATTTGCTGTCTCTTGCATCACATACAGAAAACTTTGTATGTCATTACCTGTAAATGACAGTTGCATATTAGTAATTTGTGTAGTAATCATGAGTCAATTTTTCTGCTGAAGTGCTGTATGTCTTCAACTCAGACTATATACCTAGTCATCAAGTAAACATATTCTAACGTCATTATAAGCTAATATCTTGTCTCATTAGCCTTTCTAAGAACATAATTCACTGCAAAAAATCCCATCAACTTAATTAGTTCTTCTAATTCTAAAACCAGAAAACACTGTGTCAGGTGTGAAAATCCTATCAATAGCATAAGGAACAAGGGTAGTTTTACTGTGGTTATGCAGGAAGCCAAAGTCCTACCTGCTGTCTGTAAGACTACATCTATGAAGAAATGACACACTTTAAAATACAGATAGCATTCCTTTCCTTAGGGAATAGCTATCCATAAAATCTTAGCCTAGTGAAATAGCTTTGGAGGAGTCAGTGATTATAAGTTTATAGTTTTGACTGACAAATACCAGTCGTCTTAGTTCTCTCACCTTGAATTGCTTTCAGACGTCAAAAATATCTCTGATTCATCACTCATTGGCTTTACAAAATCTGGTGGTAGAAGACTCATTCTACTGAGCAAATCAAGTGCAGGGACTGTGTCAATTTGATAGATGTGTCTGTGTTTCCTCTTGTGTTGACAGAAACAGTTCAGTTATACTCCACTTGGTAAATATACTGGGTAAATGGCATTTCTGCAAGCATTTTTCCAAAACAGAAGAACCTAGAGTAAAGAGCAGAAATAAAATATTAATGTGTGTTACCAACTGTTACAAGTTTGCTGGATACCCTCAGCATTCAAGTTTTCTTATTGGAGCATTTCAACAGGCTGACTGGAGAGCCTGGGAACTGGTGAACCATGGGTGTCTTTGTTCTAGATTTTCAAACAGCCAGGCAAACTGTGTTGCAATGCTTAAGCCAGCTGGCATTCCCTGAATGAAGATGAAGAGATTCCCTGACTTTCAAGTCTCTTCTGGGAAACTTGCATGGTCTAAAAGCTAATGTGAAACTGATTTTTGGTGATCGTAATGCCTTTGCTGACACTCCACTCAACAGCAACCATGACCCTGATCAGATTTTTTGTTAACTTGTCCAAGGATTTTTGAGTCCATGTTTATTTTTAATATGTATGCCTCATTTAAATAATACTTTCCCAAACTTAAAAATAGAAAAATCATACATAGTGAAGACAAAAACTCTTATTATTAAAAATACTGAAATAGCACTCCCAGTTTCTTTTTTATAACAAATATAACAATGCAACGTCTCTAGCATAACATGGTAGGATGCCACCTACCTTATGAGTCACATACTTTTACTGTAGAATTTAGTTTATAAACAGTCAGTGCTAGTAAAGAGACATGCTACTCAATTCAGTTGAATTTTGCATTTTATAATTTAATAAAAAATATTAATCAGAGGGATATTTTAAGCTTCCCCATCCTGAACCTCATACAATAATATTATAAGAAAAACTACCTGATATATATACAGACAATGAAAGATAATGCCACCCTGTTAAAGCTGTTAAGTAGGTCAGAGAAGAGAAAATGCAGTGCCATTTGAGAGTACTGTGGTAGTTAATGGTACCCTACCCCTTAGTCCAATCCTTAGACACTTGTTTTGATCTAAATTAATAACTACACCCCTTAGAATGCAAGAAACTTTGCTTCACAAAATTCCATTAAGGTCCTCTAAGAAGAGACACTTGCAGCCTGATGGCAGGGCCAAGAGTAGGTAAAAGAACCACTGTCCTCAACATCAAAGTCTGAAGATTGACGATGAGTTCTTAAACATACTCAGTGCCTTTTAGACCTAGATTCAGCTGCTAAGATGCAGATGGTCAGTATTCCACATGTTTTGATTGCCTTTAATTGTGCTGAAAATTCCACAGGCCACATGGCCAGTTCTCTTCAGTAGAGTATTTGAATTAACGAGTCTTTATTGGGAAAGTCGGAGCTCTCTTTCATCTTGAAACAACTGTACAATCTCTGAACTTTAAGATGCCTTCAGGAAATAAAACTGAAGTCTCCCCATTCCTTTTATCCCTATTTAGTTGTGCTTCTTTTCCTTTTTCTATACAAAGTCTTACATATTTTTATATATTCAATTATCACAATTTCCTTTTGTAGGAAGACCTATGGTGTACAGCTCACTCTCTCGCTAATGCCCTAATGAGGCCAAATAAACATTAGGACCATTCCTGAGATTGAAACTAAGAGCCTTCCCATGGACTGTCGTGGGATGGCAGAGCTTATTATCTCTTGAAGCCATGGAACATGGCCGCAATGTCAGAGAACATTTCCTCACAGATATTAAGCCAGTATGGGGAGAAACATGTACACTGCTTGCCACCATACAGCTTTCCACCCCAGGATTGACACTTGAGATGAACAGGGTGTATGAAGCATCATGCTGTTACTGGCAAAAGAGGACCACATCCAGACTAGCAGGAGGTGTTTTCGACCCAAAATCAGAATATGATAGGAACCAGGAAGAACCAGGAAGCCCTATCAGAAGTCTTCCTTGACCAGAATGATCTACATTATGTGGCCTT